TGATTCAACTGGCCACCAACGAAAAGGGGGGCACACTGAATGGCAAGTTGAGGTGCACTGAGCAACAAGGCTAGGCGCGGGGGGGGGGGGGGGGGGGTCATATGGACCTTACAGGGGGCAAACTGATCACCAGAGTTATGTAAGGAAACTCTGCTAAGCACCGCTCACTCACTACTGATCACCACCTAAGGGGGCAAACACCATTGACTGACTAAAAAAGGAAGGAGGTGCTACTACCCAACTAAAAGTCCATCCCAGCGACTAGGCAGGTGCACGATCCACAGATGCTCATTTGTTTAACATCTCAATGAAGAAAGAGATGCGCACTACCTCCACTGCCCTAAAATCTTCCTTTTATTACATTGACCACAAGAAACTACATCAAAAGTACAGTACGTTGACGCGTTTCGGCCGAACGGTCTTAGCCATTACCCATAATATAACATGAAAATGTAAGTAATAGGTGGTAAAGACACATGTCCAGCCTGCTAATTAGCCAATTAACTTAATGGCAAAATATTTAACAGCTGAAATTCATGGCCAACAGCCTGTGTCAGAACCACCACACCAGACAAAAATGTACTAGAAAGCATTAACCAACATTGGTTCTTTTTTGGCTAATGTTTTCTAGTACATTTTTGTACCACTGAAATCTGCAGGCTATAATGTGTATTACATATTCCTGACCCCTGCACTCTGATTGCTGCACTGTATACAATATGTCTCAGACCATGTACACATCTCTGCAATGAGGGAATGCAAGTGTTAACACAATGTGCAAAAACACATATGTTGTACATTAGTGTGCTGCAGTGCCATTCACTCCTCCTGGCCCCCAACACCCAAATGTTGCTGTGCACCGCAATGCATAGTAACGCATTCCCATGTGTTCTGTGGTACATTCTTTTTTTTGTTGGTGCAATTTAGTGCGGTAGGTAATTAATTCAAATTATTGGCTGCTTTAACGCAGTGCATGTTAGTGCGCACAAAAACTTGCATCAGCATGCATGTATTACCGCACTGCAACAATCTGAACCTATCCCAAAACTAAGTACATCTAGTTTTTTTTTTTTTTCAAATTATGTGGTCTTTTTCCCTTTAAATAGTGTAAATCTTTAAAAAGAGTTGTTATTAAATGCCCCCAAAAGAAACCTCATCTGTCTAAAAACAATTCTATAAAATTAATGTGAGCAAGTAATTGTTGGTTAAACTATCACAGCCCAGAAAAATTAAAAATGGCCTGGTAATGAAGGGTATGACCAGGTTAGTACTCAAGTAGTCACAAATATAGGGGCTGCTACTGCCTTCTAAAATGCTATTTACCTGGCTGCCATGCCGATCTTCAATAATTTATGAATCTCTGGCCTAGAGCAAGGGTTTCCAAACTTTCTGCACAAGAGGCCAATTTACTTCCCTACAGACTGTAGGGGGGCCGTGTTGTTGCGGCTCATTAGAGCAGAAAATGACGCACATCAGTAGATGCATTTCATAGCATCTGCTGTGGTCAGTAGGAGAGGGAATAGTGCCCAATCATTGGTATCAGTGGTAGGAATAGTGCCCCATTGTTGGTATCAGTGGGAGGAATAGTGCCCAATCGTATATATCAGTGAGAAGAATTTTGCCCCATTGTTGATGTCAGTGAAAGGAATAATGCCTTGTTGTTGGTGTCAGTGGAAGGAATTATGACTCATTGTTGGTACCACTTGATGGAATAGTGCCCCATCATTGGTACCAGTTGAAGGACTAGTGCCCCATCGATGCCAGTTAAAGGAATAATGCCTGTCATTAGTGCCAGTTGAAAGAATAGTGCCCCATTGTTGATGCCAGTGGAAGGAATGGTGTCCCATCATTGGTGTCAGTTGAAAGAATAGTGCCTCGTACTAGTGGAAGGGCCAGATAAACCAAGCAAAGGTCTGTAGTTTGGAGACCACTGATCTAGAGCAAATATATTAATAAGGAGTTATGCATGAATGCATAGCAGTTTTGAGTCAGTGGCTTAGAAATCAGTGAAGTCGTTAGATCAGCATGACAGTCAGGAAACTGGCATTTTGAGAAACAGATCTACCCTATTTCTTATTAGACAAATTTTTTTTGAAAATTGTGTAAGAAATTTTGTTTTCTGGCCAGCTCAGAGTCTTCTACTACTCACAGACTTTGAAAATATGACACCATGGCTGGCTGCACCGTATGTGAGATGTAAACATTGGCTAGCCCCCCAGCAAGAGGGCATGTAAATGTGTCAGGCTTTAGTCAGGGACATTGAAAAGGAGGCCCAGACTATTCTCCTGTGCACAGGCTATTGGCAGTCTGTATCCCCCAGTGATTGTACAGAAATGGCTGTAAAAAAGAGCAGAATGGAGTGTTCTCAACCAGAATAAAATGCCTGCCACCACACAACTGTGCAGCTGTAGATACATCATATGAAGTAAAAATAACGCTTCTCTTTTTGTATCAGTGACCTCGCTAACATAAATCATTCAATCTGCCAGCATTTCTGACATATCGCTGTCACGAAGAGGCCTTGTTATGACAGGCAGGGCCTAGAGCCCACTGTTGCTGAGGCTGTCAGCGTTCTAGTGCCAAAAATATAACCGTTTGTTTTTTACGCGCTGCTGTGGGTGTGGGGGTCACTTTGAGACACCTGAGTTCTACCAGTGACACTTGCCACTGGCGGCCGTCTGCCATTGTATCCATACAGCTGGTATGGCCTTTCTTAGAGGGGCCCTTATAGCATTCTGCTTTTGTCCATGCCGAGGTCACATGACCACCATTGCGCATTAAAATACAAAAATGTATGAAATGTGTTGAAAGTGGACATTTATTTGATGTTACAACTCTCAAAAAGTGTTCTCTTAGATGTGACAGTGCAGCATTATATCAGCCCAGAGACAGATGGCTTTATTGAAGCATTCACTCATGGCAATTCACATTCAAACTGCAACTTTGCTGCAACTTACAAACTGGTTCTACATACTCAGCCTGACATCCATCTTCTGCAGTTGGCTTGCTAGATATTTAAAGCAGGCTATATCCTCACATTCTGAGTGACCTTGAAATTGAGTCTTCATAGATTTAAGCCAGTATGTTCTGTGGTTCAAACCACCACCATCTCAGAGAAGGAGGTGGAACAGGTTAACCCCTTTACGCCACAGTGACCCATATGTGTGGCGGCAAAAAGCTGAGCTTTAATGTCCACATGTCGCACATATGCATTGGTGGGCAGGCAGTGTTTATTTGCTGGGGGGCACGCTTCCTGCGCACTCCTGGCATAAAGACCAAGCTGCCGAAAACGGCTCTCTAGAGAAGACATTGGTAGCTGGCAGGATCAGTCTCCAATCAAGTGACCACCGTGACAGCCAATCACATTGGTCATATGATCTCATTTTCTTCCTGCCTGCAACCCCTGCCCCCCTGGGCTTTAATAACATTTACAGGGGACACTAAGGCAAGCAGGAAAGGGTTAAAGTCATGTATGAAGAGGCAACATTTCCACTCAGGAGCACTTTTTAGACTGGGGTCAGGGCAGATGGAGTCCAGTGCATATTTATTCTGCATCAAATACGCATGCACAGTGTTTGACATGTATTCCAATGGCCCTAGTTTACACCTGTGCAATGCATTTCAGTGCAGTCAACAAAAGTAGAGCATGTTGATTTTTTTCTGTATGGAACACATCTGGAACTCAGCAAAATGCATGAAAAATGCACCAGAATGCACATGTGCTCAATTGAGATGAAGAAATAAAAGAGAGGAAAAAACCCATCAGAACGCGTCAAAAATGCGCATGCAGAAACAAATGCGGAACTCAGAAATTGTGGTGTGAACTGACCCTCACACAATGAATCTGCATTTCTAATCATTTTTTCATACGTTTTTCATGGGTTCCCTTTGAAGTCTATGAGACTAAAAATGCAAAAGAAGCATCTGCCTGTAAGAATTGCTATATTTGTACAATAATAATTAAAAATTAAGTGTAAAGTTTTGCAAAAAAGATAGTTTCACAGACTTTAACTGGGTCATCTCCATCTGGAGGTAATTGAGTATATATTTTTGGAAATATATAAAGAAAGGGATCCACTATGTAATTATTTGGGTTCTGTTGTATGTTTCCAGTATAGCAGTCTTTCTTAACCTTTTTAACCCCAGGGGAACCCTTGAAATTATTTCCAGGTGTCAGAGAACCCCCTGATAAATTCAATTCATTGGTGATTACAAGGATGGTCATTGGTAAGAATGCCCCCCCCTCTTCCCCCCCCCTTTACAGTGGTAGTTATAATTCCACCTTTGTAGACCGCTAAAAAGATCATCGGCATCATGTCCCTGGCTTTGCCAAGTGGTGTTGGCCCCGGAAAAAAAAATACAGGAGCCATCAGATAGAAGGTCAGTTGGCACAGCGCAAGGAACCCTACCAACCTGCAAAGGAACCATATGGTTCCAGAAAAACCTGTTTGAAAATGACTGCTGTACAGTATGGTGTCAACAACAGGATCCTACTGTAGAAAGCAAGGGAGTAATTGCTGTGCTTCTTTAAAGTGTTAGCAATCCCACAACAGTACAATCAGTCTGTATATGCAGTAAAGCATGATTGTTATATTCACTGTGGAACCTAAGGGGTTAATCCTCTTCATTGTGTGAAAAGGCTGTTTGATCTTTTCTTCTCTGATTCTCCCCTTTTTTAAACTGCCCCAATCCATCCGCCATAGTACAGAGCAGTAGTGGCAAGCCTGCACATGCTCTGTGTGTGCAGTTAGAGGGTTTTTTTTGGAGGGGAGGGTACATGTGATTGGCACAGGGTCAATCAGCACTCTCTGGACATAGGGTCAGGGGTCATGCATCCTCAAAGGACAGTCAGAGTAGAATTAAAACTCCTCCTACAAGATTAACCATGCTCGGCCAGACACTGATAAAAGTCACAAGACTGCTATATACTGCTGATGGGAAAAGGTAGTTAGCAGTTTATATTTACTAAAATAATTTCATTTCCATGTTCTGTGTACTGTGGGAGACCAGATATAGTGAATGCAGGGTCCGGGGGAGACCAGGTATAGTGAATGCAGGGTCCGGGGAGACCAGGTATAGTGAATGCAGGGTCCGGGGAGACCAGGTATAGTGAATGCAGGTTCCGGGGAGACCAGGTATAGTGAATGCAGGGTCCGGAGAGACCAGGTATAGTGAATGCAGGGGCCTGGGTTTAGTAACACTTCAATACAGCTGCATTATGCAGCCTTAGCCAAAAGGGAAGTCCAGTGTTGAGCTCATCCTGGCTCCTCATCACTTCACAAAATCTTTTGAATAAAAAAGCCTATGTGGGCATTTCCAAGGCATTGGTCATGTGACCAGTATCAGAGGCAGTGCAGAACACAGGTGTGATAACGCACATTAGACATTAACGCACATTAAATTAGAGTTTATATTAGTATAATAGCAACATTCAAAGAGCAATTATGTGCAGTACTCCATGGCACCAATCAGAAATATGAAATGCTTAATTTGAACATCATTGAGTGCAAAGTAACAGGTTCTCTTGATAGCCCATCCTCTCAACTGCTGCTGTTTATCTTCCCTGTACTCCCCCATCCCCATTTACCACCAGTGCACCCTATGCATGTTCCAGGTCAGTTTAGGCCAGAGCTTTCACAGAGCTAAAGACCCTGACCCCATGTGACAGCCCTTGAGCCCGGTGATTATTACTTGGGAGCAAAGAGAGAGAGAGAGTCCTATTCTCCGGTTACCCAGAAGTACACAAGGCTCCACTGGGAGTATAGGGATGTCAGGGCACTGTAAAGGAACTATCAGCAGCAGAGAATCGGATGTTTTTTTCTTTCCCTAAATGGACAATTTTAAGTACATTTTCCTTTTAAATTTGTGGAAAATAATAAATATACTTTTAAAGTGTTTTTTAAAGTCAGTTTTAAAATGTTCTGCAAGAATAACCTGAAGAATGAACATAATTACCATTAGTAAGTGCTCTTTTATATATCGCTCTTTGTTTTAGAATCAGTGTATAAAGGATAATGTGGAAAAATAAACACATTTAATCAATAAATATGACATCTGAGCGCAGCATGGACTGTAGTGTACACATATCCATAGTCTCATAAATCCACTTGTTTTGTAGTAATACACTTGTCCAGCAGGTGTCAGCAGCAACACACACTGATGTAGTAGACTCTTCTAAGAAGTAGCTGATCTGTCTGATGTCTATCCAAGTCTATATTTGTCACATGTTGGAAACCTTCTTTCCATAATCCTGTACTTGTCCTAAATAGCACCTTTCTACTAAAGTCCTTCTTCAAAATAGGATATTTTTAGGCTCATAAATTGCACTCAAAATGTGCATTTCAAAATGACAGGAGCCACAAAATATTTAAAAGTTGCATTGTAGGTGCTCCAGAAATAAAATTAAAGTTAAGAAAAAGGCAAACAAAAACTTAATTACCCGTGCTAACGTGATAAATCATATACAATGAAAAAACTCATATACACAGCCAAAAAAAATATATGTTGCTGCAGTTCATAAAGTGAAAACACCTTAAATAATGAATAATCGATAATACAGCACAAACAAATTAAATGTGACAAAATACTAAGTCCCAAACAAGCAGTGCTTCAATCAAAAAAAATATCTTTTGTGTCCAACAAGAAGTGTTCTATAAGTGGTGTCACCGCACAGTGCTCCATGATCACCTTCTAATACACTCCACACTCACCAGATTCGATGGACTCTTAGCTTGTATGGCTTAAGAGTCAAACAGCCTTAAACTGGTGAAGTGTGTTCTTGGGCATAACCAGGACTCAGATAGGCAGACACCGGATTCAATATAATTCCTCAGTACTTAGACATGGTCCTCATACATGCAGGAAGAGTATAAGAAACAAGAGGGACACACATAGTGTAACTGTGTAACACTTCTTTATTAAACGATATTCAGATATATATTGCACTCACATGTATCCAAAAAATTAAAAGCTTTGAAATGAACAATATTCCACGATCCCCACATCAATATACCGTTAATAGGCAAGGAAATGGCTCCGGAGTGATGCTCACAGAGTGTGCTCCACTCACCTGACGTCACAAAGGTCGGGCAGCAACCGGAAATTTACGTTGACACGTTTCGCCCCTCCTCCAGGGTGTTATCAAAGACAACAATCTCTGGTTCCTCAGCACTAGATATACACTGCCTCCACTCCTCCCACCTAATTATATATACACTGCCTCCACTCCTCCCACCTTAATATATACACTGCCTCCACTCCTCCCACCTTAATATATACACTGCCTCCACTCCTCCCACCTAATTATATATACACTGCCTCCACTCCTCCCACCTTAATATATACACTGCCTCCACTCCTCCCACCTTAATATACAGTCATGGCCGAAATTGTTGGCACCCTTGATATTTCTCCAGGAAATCATGTATTTCTCACGAAACGTATTGCATTAACACATGTTTTGCTATACACATGTTTATTCCCTTTGTGTGTATTGGGACAAAACAAAAAAAGGAGGAAAGAAAGCAAATTCGACATAATGTCACACAAACCTCCAAAAATGGGCTGGACAAAAGTATTGGCACCCTTTCACAACTGCGATAAATAAGAATGTTACAAGCATGTGATGCTCCTGTAAACTCACCTGGGGCAAGTAACAGGTGTGGGCAATATAGAAATCACACCTGAAAGCAGATAAAAAGGAGAGACGTTCACTTAACCTTTGCATTGTGTGTCTGTCTGTGCCACACTAAGCATGGACAACAGAAAGAGGAGACGAGAACTGTCTGAGGACCTGAGAACCAAAATTGTGGCAAAATATCAACAATCTCAAGGTTACAAGTCCATCTCCAGAGAACTAGATTTGCCTTTGTCCACAGTGCGCAACATTATCAAGAAGTTTGCAACCCATGGCACTGTAGCTAATCTCCCTGGTCGTGGACGGATGAGGAAAATTGATGAAAGATTGCAACGCAGAATAGTCCGGATGGTGGATAAGCAGCCCCAAACATGTTCCAAAGACATTCAAGCTGTCCTGCAGGCTCAGGGAGCATCAGTGTCAGCGCGAACTATCCGTCGACATTTAAATGAAATGAAACGCTATGGCAGGAGACCCAGGAGGACCCCACTGCTGACACAGAGACATAAAAAAGCAAGACTACAGTTTGCCAAAATGTACTTGAGTAAGCCAAAAGCCTTCTGGGAAAAACGTCTTGTGGACAGATGAGACCAAGATAGAGCTTTTCGGTAAAGCACATCATTCTACTGTTTACCGAAAACGGAATGAGGCCTACAAAGAACAAAACACAGTACCTACGGTAAAATATGGTGGAGGTTCAATGATGTTTTTGGGGTTGTTTTGCTGCCTCTGGCACTGGGTGCCTTGACTGTGTGCAAGGCATCATGAAATCTGAGGATTACCAAAGGATTTGGGTCGCACTGTAGGGCCCAGTGTCAGAAAGCTGGGTTTGCGTCCAAGATCCTGGGTCTTCCAAGCAGGACAATGACCCCAAACATACGTCAAAAAGCACTCAGAAATGGATGGCAAAGAAGCGCTGGAGAGTTCTGAAGTGGCCAGCAATGAGCCCAGATCTAAATCCCATTGAACACCTGTGGAGAGATCTTAAAATTGCTGTTGGGAAAAGGTGTCCTTCCAATAAGAGAGACCTGGAGCTGTTTGCAAAGGAAGAGTGGTCCAAAATTCCGGGTGAGAGGTGTCAGAAGCTTATTGATGGTTATAGGAAGCGACTGATTTCAGTTATGTTTTCCAAAGGGTGTGCAACCAAATATTAAGTTAAGGGTGCCAATACTTTTGTCCAGCCAATTTTTGGGGTTTTGTGTGACATTATGTCATATTTGCTTTTCTGCCTCTGTTTTATATTTGTTCCAATACATACAAAGGGAATAAACATGTGTATAGCAAAACATGTGTTAATGCAATACCTTTTTTGTGTGAAATACTTGATTTTCAGGAAAAATATCAAGGGTGCCAACAATTTCGGCCATGACTGTATACACTGCCTCCACTCCTCCCACCTTAATATATACACTGCCTCCACTCCTCCCACCTTAATATATACACTGCCTCCACTCCTCCCACCTTAATATATACACTGCCTCCACTCCTCCCACCTTAATACCGCACTTCCCATAAGGTGTACAGGCTTTAATTACATATATCCATACAGCGCTTCCTGGGGTACTCGACTTAGATTAGGGGACCCCGCTAATTAAGAACCTATTAAACTTCAGGACCCGATAAACAGGCAGAAAACAGTTTTAAATCCAGATAAAATTGTTTAAAATTGTATGAAATAAAATAAAAATGAATATAAAATAGAATAGAATTTAAACATATTATAGACACTAAAATATTATTCCACCTTCTGAACAATAATTTATCAATTAAAAAGAAAACAATTTAAATCAATATCTATATTTAACCCCTTAGGGGTTAGAGTGTCAAGTCTAAGGATCCATCGGGTTTCATTCTGTGAGATAGATTTCTTCATATCTCCCCCATGCCAGTGGGGTTCTACTTTATTTATCCCAAAGATTTCAAAAGGGACAGATCCCTATTATGAAAGACCCTAAAATGATGAGTTGCGATGGGAGCAAAATATGCTACCGTAGTTGCAAATCTTTTCATGAACAAATGGAAACAAGAATCTATTTTTATGAACAAAGAGACCAGAGTTGAAGCTCTATAAAAGATTAATTGATGACATCTGTATTATTTGGGAAGGTACGCAAGAATCTTTAAGAGACTTCATTAATGGAATGGGTATGAACCAATATAATATCTCATTTTCCAAAGACATTAGTTATGAGTGTATACATTTTTTTTAGATCTCACTGTATATAAGAATGGCAAGAAGTTATGTATCCGGACTCACTTTAAAGAAGTAGACAGGAATGGATACATTCCTGTACATAGTTGCCATCATCATCCTAGATGGCTTAACTCAATTCCCAAGAGCCAATTCTTGAAAAATAAATGTAACTGAAGATAAAGATTATGATGAACAGACAGACATTTTAATACAGAGATTTGAAGAAGAAGGGTACAGGAATGTTAGGGCAATAAGAGATCAGGTTAAATGTATGGATAGGGATAAATTGTTAATAACAAAGAAGAAAAAAGGAGATAACTGTGGGGTAGCATTTATCACAGGGTTTTCCAAACAAAACAAGGTAATATAAAATATATTTAGAAAAATATTGGCCAATTCTTTTGCGGGATGATGTACTAAGGGATGTTTTGCACAAAGCACCAAGATGTATTTATACTACACCACCCACCCTTAGGACTAAGCTTGTTAAATATTTTTCCTGATCCCCTCCAAAAAATGATTTTGTTTTTGGATCAGGTTGGTTTCTTTAAATGTGGTAGATGTTTGGCCTGTAAAACTATGGGGAGTAGAAACAAAAGAACACTGTATGCGGAGTAGAAACAAAATGTATCTCATGTGGAGGCACTCATGTCAC